ATATATAACTTTTTTTTAGGTGGAAAACAGAATTTTGCAAATAATCAATGCTTTTGCAATGATAATTTTAGTTCATATTTTACTAACTTTTTTTATAACAAGAAAAGTGTTATTTTTAATTAAGAAAATTTTTATGGAAAGTAAAGCTAATTACATGCAATACTCGCTACTTCTCATAAGACATTCTGTATACAGGGTGTCGTGCAACTGATAGTACAGCCGAGAAGCTGGTGATTCTTTCATTAAAAAATTAGTTAAAAATATAGAATAAAATTTTTTCATATGGGGCTTTGTTCTCGAGAAAGTCGACCTTAAATATTTGTCTGGTACGTTTGCACTTAACTATGTCTCAACTTATGTTTGTATTAATAAGCGATGCCAATGTCATGATCAGTACCGATAAATACATTTAACAATTTCTTTAATTTAAATTTACATTACTGAACGAATTGTTGGAAGTGACGTGCTTGGTAACGCATACAAATCCTTGCTCTTTGAATCAGAATCGTGGATTGATGATATGGTATTTTGATGATTCTGCAGAAGATTGACACTATTTCTTGACGAAATGATATGTTAGGTCGGGACATGGTTAAGTGCACGTGTACCCAACGAATATTTAAAATCCATTTTCTCGAAAGCAAAGCCTCGTAAGAAAAAATATGATTCTACATTTTCGATTTATTTTTTTATGTAGAATCAACACCTTCCCACTTATACCATCAGTTACACGACACCCTGTATATTCAAATAAACATGATTATGAAAGCTTATCTTATCAAGATCTTTCCAATTTTCATCGTTCATATACAGTTTTCTAATCAAAGAGCTGGCTGATACAGTGTCAAGCCAATTATTAAAAAATAAAAAACAATTAAGAATTAATGTTGCAATATTAGAAATTTTCTTGTTATTTTATTAATTATATATTTTTATTAACTGAGTTCCAGATCGCATAAAAAACATTAACTTATGATCAATTTGTCTTTGTGTAATTTTAATCTTTAGCTATTCATATAAGACGACATATTAATAACATTTATAACATGCATTTATGAAATATTAAAATATTGTAGACATTTTTAGTTCAGTTAGCATTTATAGTATTTATGATAATAAAAGAATAAACGAGCAGGTTTGTTGCCCGTAATTCAGTGTTATTTAACAAGCTGCGAAAATTCACGTTTAGTCGACGCTGAGCTGCCGTAGGTGTAACATGTCAATTGTTATCAGCGCCGACTTCAGACGAGCGTGAACGTTTTGTAACGAAGTAATCTCGCGGGTATGTTTATACTCGTGTATCTACCAGTCCTCAGAATATCATGTTGAAAACTTAAAAAAAAGAATCAGTGTTATAAACAATTGGGAAAGTTAAAAAGAAATGCGCGCGTGAAATAAAATATTATTTCTCTCGTTCTGTTTCTCTTCTTCTCTTCATCTTTCTCTTTATATTTTTCGGTTAAAAAGCATCGTTCGACATAATACGTTTCAATTTAGAAGAATAATCAATGTTTTAAAATACGTACGAAAATCATGCTCTGTGATTCGTATATATGCGCTTGAAAGTGCGCTTCTAGTAGAATATTTTCAATGGTCAGTGCGAATTTTACTCACTTAAGCGACACGCGTTGTATTTGGAAAAGGAAGAGTTTAATAAATGGTGAATTTTCATGAAACATATTGCTTTTGATAAATGAAAGCTGTACAATGTTAACAGTTGTATACATACGATTATTATTAAATGATAATTACAAAACGCACGGATGTAAAAATAAATAGCCAAGAAGTGCGAAGAAATTTTCTGTTTAGTCGGCGAGAAGGAGAAGATACTGGACGAGTTATTTATGTGATCTATTTTCACGCAAGTTGTGTTACCTTAGTGGCCTAAAAATATCAGTGAAATTTGATTAGGCACAGCTTGATGCTTCAGTATTACCTATTTGAATATACACAAATCTGTTTCGGTATGAATTCTTCCCAGTAATTTTCAATTACTGCTTTTTGTCCTTGTCACGATAATATTCAAATAATAAACAATGTTTCGTTAATGTTGTACTTAACGATTCATTAACAGATTAATGTTACACATGTGAACTTGATTTTTCTATAAATTATCGATTTTTTTCTATAAATATAAGTTGTAATAGTGTACTGTAATAATAAGTATCAAATATCATGAGAGGAAGATATGTATATTTTAATATATTTTAATTGCTTTCTTGTTCTCTTAAAAAAACATTCTTTTTTCATTTCATTAGTTTATTCAAAATAAAATAATTACTTAAAAAATATAATTCTTTTATTTATATTATTTTGTATTATTATCATTATCTCGTAGAATCTTGCTGAATGTAAGTAGCATCGATATAAATACGAATGGTGACAGAATTGAAAATTTACTACACAATATAATTATACAGAACCATTTATAAAACGAGAATGAAGTAGAATATGTCAATGTCATATATGCACTCAACATTAAACATAGTGAATGAATCAACGAAGTGAGCGCGAAAAAAGAGAGGGATTAGAGTTATATGTTGAAGTATTGAAATATTGTTAATTTTGTGTACTTAAAGTATACTATAGCGTAATTATGTTATTTAATAATATTTAATAGGAAAAGAAATACTACTGAAAAATAGAATTAAGTATTAAAAATGTTAAATAATTTAAAATAGATACAAAAAAAAAGTGTAAAATGCAGCTTTATTTAAAACAATTTTATTTATATTTTCACTGTAACGAAGGTAATACAATTAATATTAGTTTTCCGGAAATTACATTAAGAACTTAAAGGGATACTAGGATATTTAATATCGTACATGTTGCAAAAAAGATAAAATTAATATTATTATTTTTTAATTTCACTAAAGGGTTTAGTGGAATTGTGTGATGTTTCGTGATGGACAATAGGCCAGTTAACTTGTTCGTAAAAAAGATCGAAGGAAATGCCAGAAACGTATTTTCGTCATCAGCTAAAGATAATGGAGCCAATCGTTCACTTAGAAAAAATTGTACAACGGATAAAATTAAAGAAGAAGAAACTGGCGATGAAATTCAGGTAAAATATGTTCTCACACACCATTTATCAATAATTGATATCTAATTTCAATCAACACATATAATTTATTAATTATATATTGATGTAATTGAAGTATATTATTCTTACACATTATCTATTAACAAGTAATATGTAATATTAATTAACTTCAAAACTGTGGAAATAAATTAAGGCTCACTTTAATTTGTTCGTTAAACCATAATATTTAGTTTTCGTTTTATTGCATTTGTACAAAATTCTTTCCTTGAAATAAATTAATAAATTTTACAACTATTACGAAAGTAATTAAATTTTTTGAAAACGCCCATAAAGAAAATAAATAATATAACAAGGAATCGTTAATAAGTTCTTTTAAATAGTAATCAAAGTTTCTTTTTGTTAAGTGTAACTGTTAGAAATAAAAATATGTTCGATTGTTAAATCAATTAGACATTGATGTATAATTATTATAACCGTGTGTAAAAATTTGCAGCTTGCATGATTTAAGAGTTTCATAAATTGCAAATGTATAATATGATACAATATTTAATAATCATTATTTACTATAAACATCGATGCTTTAAAGACAGACTTTTGTATCCATTTTTTAATTTGTATTTATACTGAATTACTTTATATGAATTAGACGGGAATATA